ACCTTAGTTTTTATAAGAGACACCCTCTTTGTTTTCACTCACTGTTTTACCTGTATAAGCAGTGGTTGAAAGTAATTAAGTACATTTACTCTAAGTACTGTACTTTAGTAAAAATTTGAGGTACTTCCTCCTTTACTCCATGACATTAGTTTTGTGAGGACTGTAACACTCCAGTTCACTGAAGCTCTGGAGAAAAAGTCAACCCCTCCGATAGTCACTGTATAACCTGAGTACACAACTGAAATATATACCTGTAGGTGAAGTTGTTCTTAGACCTGATGTGGAAAGGTTACATGTTTTAACTTACAGGAGCAACTGACTTTGTGGCATTCTGTCAGGTTTTCCCATGAGACATCCAACTTCAACAAAGAGCCGTTTGTCTGGAGCCAGAACGTCCTCAGAATAAAGTCAATATTCAACATCCCGGTTTCATGTAACTGCTAAAATGACAGAAAATGAAAAAAGACGTTCATCCACTTAAGAACATCAACAAACGTTGAGCTTAACTGAAAAGACGTCTGGGGAACGTGACGCCCAGCTGCTCTCACCATCAGACCCATCATGCATTTCACCTGAGAGCTGGTGTCAGGCGGCGCCCTCCTGTCACGGCTCATCAGCACCAGCAGAAACCACTGACGTACAGAGGCCGGTATCACAAACACCTCGACTCTGTCACATTGTTTTCTCACATATAAGTTTAAATTTGCTCGTGTCGTTACTTCTGGGAAACTTGGTTAAAAGTCCAGATGGACGAGGAGCCTCTCATGAAACCAACTTTTATTATGGTTCAAAATAATGAGCTGAAATGAGACGGGGCGCTGGCCAACTGTCCCTCTGCCCCGGGGAGACTCTGCCCCTCCAAGCACTTGAACCAGACCGTCACCACTGAACCTCCACTCAGATTCTGCTTGTTTTTGGAAAACAGTCTGAGGATTAGACCTCGGCGTTGACTCTACCTCTCACGAGGACGTCTTCCTAGAAAAACAGGCTGCGTTTATTGCTGCTTTGGGGCAGCAGATGTTCACATTTGACGGCTGTTGCATCATTGACTGACGTGTTGGGGATTCAGATGAAGTGAAGACAATTTAACGTTAACTTATGGGTGGTAATAAACAGGTTGGAGCTGTTTGAAAGTGAAGTTACCCTGACATTTCCTTAATCCCCTCCCTCGTGGTGCCAGAGGAAACAACTGTTTCGCCATCAGTCTTGCAAAACCACAACTGGATGACACTGAGAGACAGGAGATCATGTGAGCCTGGATGGATTTAAGGCCTACAGTATTTAAGCTCTGCAGTGAGTGAGTGTGAGTGTGAGTGTCAGAAGTGTCGACACCAGGGAATAAGACACTGCTGCGTCAGGGCGACCCACGATGCTTCAGTCTCTTGTGACAAAGCTGCACAACAGCGACGCGTAGCTCATCATCTGGGACGGTCGCCATAGCGAAGATGCTCTTGGTCAGAGGTGATCAACCAGTTACTCTTCATCCTTTGAGTCTTTTCTCTTATAAAACCAAGAAATACAGTTTGTAAATATTTCCCATGAATCTCACTTGTGTCTGTTGTCAGAAGATATTTTCTCATTACTTTCAAATCTCCTTCAAATGTGTCCTTTGTTTCCTGGGAAACGAAGGACACAAACGAAGTCAAGGTTGCTAGGTCACAGTAAGGGCGGGAACAGCTGGTGACGCTCAGAGAAAATCCTCCATCGACCGTCTTGTGTCAGTTCGAAGACTGTGGAAATGCTTATTACTGTTACCATGACAACAGAAGTCTTCTAGAGGACAGTTCTCTACTGTGACACTGACACTTATTGATCTGAGGGTGAAGTCATTGATCTGAGGGTGAAGTCATTGATCTGGGGGTGAAGCTATTGATCTGGGGGTGAAGTTATTGATCTGAAGGTGAACTTATTGATCTGAAGGTGAACTTATTGATCTGAAGGTGAACTTATTGATCTGGATCAAACACACACAGAGCCTGTCAGAGCCTGAGGCTCATTCAACGTCGTTCTAACACAGGCTGTTGTGGTGGTTTGACGTGGATCCTCCGCTTGTTTCAGGAACTCAGCTGATGTGAATTTTATTTAGTTTCATTAGTTATTGATGGAAAACAGAAACACTTGTTTTCATGTGATGGATGTTGGACAAACATGTCTGACCCATTCTGGTTCCACAGACTTGTTTGTCTTTCCTTCGTCTTCAGATGGTTTTAAGCTGCTCAGTGATCGAGACGCTCTGACCACGAGGCAGAGCAGCGTTATCACTCCACTGTCACTCTTACTCTGCTGCTCATGAAAGTGTGTGAGGCGCTGGCTTTCAAATGTTCATCCAGTAGTTTTAAATGACATTAGAGTGAACTCTGTTGGACTGTTGTGCTTCTGTCAGACCTCTCTTCCAGTCTCACCTGGGCTTCAGTTGTCTCCTCCAGAGACACAGATCTCACCTGTGCTTGATTCTTGGCCCTCTGTTTGCAGCAACATGCTGCTGCTGATCAGGTTTCCATAACACCAATATTTTCATATGTGAATGTATTGATCCATAAATCCATCAGACCTCACCTCAGTCTCCTGGACGTCCATTAACTTTAATGCTGAACAGGGACAGAGCTGCAGAGGAACTCTGTCCCTGCATGTCCCGTCTGTCTCTATCGAATAACGGCTCATTGCTATAACAAAGCTTTTAATTAGTTTTGTTTTATGCTTTTAATCATTTATTTATCCTTAACATTTTTCCGTCTCTTAGTTTCAATCCAATCAAATCGAAACAATTTGTAATGTGTGTTCTGTTTTATGTCTGTGGAACTTTTAGAAAAGTGCTATATAAATAAAGTTGATTAAATCATGATAAGTTCCACAGGCTGGAGGAGTCGTACATTCAGAGAAGCTTTGTTTTTCCCAGACTTTGTTGCCACCTTTAAATGAAATGTGTTCCAGACACTGAAGAAAAGAAAACACCCATGTCACATAGTACAGAGATTTTATTCTTACAAGGTTTCTTAAAATATTTGATACCCATTAAAGTGTGATACTGCACATTTACGTATTTCTGTGTAAAAAATAAAGCAATATATAAAATTATTTAAGCAAATAGATTCTGTTTCTGCATGCTAAAGCTCAAAGTACAATACATTTTATAAACATTTTATTTGTGAGTTTCATAGCAGTGCTACAAGCATTACACCCTGTCAGAGTTTAGAGGGTTCACTGTGCTGCAGTCCTCTGTGATAAAGTGCTTTCATGCAGTGAAGTTTAGGCAAAGTTGCAGATCAAGGACCAAACCCAGGAAGCGAGCGGCCGCGCTCCCCGAGGTTAGCTTTAGCGTGAAGTGTGGTTCTGTTCGCTGCTCAAGCGGCAGCCGGACGCTCAGCAGCGAGGGTTCCCCATCCGACAGTAACACACAGTCCTGAAGAGCCGACACTGGCAGAAGGCACAGAAATCACAGCACACATTGCCTGGAGATTTACAGCTTCCCCACAAGGGAATGCAGTTAGCAGGAGGAGGGGGGCGCTGCACACCGAACTTGTTCTGAGAGAGAAAGAAAAGAAAGACAGAGAACACGAGATCAGACTGTTAACGCTGCTCTCATCAGAAGAGCCAGAGACAGTTCAACAACACTGAGAGAACAGGAAGCACAGTGTGTCTGAGCATGAGAAGATCTCAGCTCAAAGGTAGCCTTACTAGCCTCTTCTAAGCTTTCTGGCTCAACTTCACCTTCTTCCAAGGAGCATGGAGGAAGGAAAGTCTAAAGAGCTGAAAACTCCAGCAGCACTTGAAGTAAACAGAAGTTTATTAGAGCGACATGTTTCTGTTTGTGTGTGTTACCTCACAGGAAACATTTCAATAGACTGAAAATATGAACCAGCCAATCACACGTGAACACATATCAGCCTTCTTCAAGGGTGGGTGGGGCCTACGGTCATGTGGCTGTCGACCAATCGTTGTCTCAGGGAATGTCCAATAGAGGACATGGTTGATAGTAGAGGAGAAGAAATTCCCTGAACTCACACTTCAGTACAGACCTCAGGATCTCTCAGGGACGAGATCAGGACTGAACATTTAGAACAAGGAAGTAAAAGATCTTTTGAGACGAGATTATTTTGTCAAAGAGAACATGTTGATTCACTTGTACTGAGAGTTATCTCTAATATTTATGAATAATAAAATACTGCCAGCAGATGTTCTGAATAACCCGTCACACTGTGCTCACCTTCTTCTGTTTCTTTGCTTTCTTGTTCTTCTTGGCTGATTTGGGTAACTCTGAAAGAGAAGGTTATCATCAGCCTGATGATTGAACTGGGACTTACTTTTCAAAGTAAAGTGAAATCTCTGCAGGTCAAACTCACCAACAATAACCACAGGGGGGGAGCCGACCTCTAGGCTTTGAGACAGAACATTCGATACAACGACCCTATTGGTGGAAAGCCTCTCGTCGGGGATCATGTGGGCAGAGCCGTGGAGGAACTCTGTGGTGGCGAGGACGAAGCAGCCCAGCAGCAGGAAGGAGTGCATCTTTCTCTGAAACAAAAGCAGCAACAACAACGAACATGTTTGTTTCTGGCAGGAACTTGACAACACAGTGACAGTGTGGTCACGTTGTAAAATCACTTCCAGTCTTCGTCTCGACACGAGGTTTGGCAACGAGTGAGAAATGTTCTGAACCCACAGGAGAAACCTCAGAAACATCAGCGTGTCATTGAGTTTCCACCCGCTGCTGTTTGATGCATATTTTGACTTTGTGCATTAGAAAACCTCAAAAGAGGCGTTTACTCTCTACATCGGCATCGTTACATTCCTCCACCATCCACTCTCATTTCATCAAACTTCTGCCCCTCAGGGAACTTCACTGGTTACAGCGTGAAGCTGGTTCCATCCCCAGACCGGCAGGGTTAAATCTGGCCGGGAAGACTGAAGGAACAGCACTGTGGCGCCCTTGAGCAAGGCCCTTAACCCCTGAACTGGAGCTGCTCAGTAACAAGCAGGTCGGACTGGTTTTACTGGGCAGGTGATCAGGGGAAGCTTCCTCTCACTGAAACTACCCAGAGGCCTCTCACTGTCAGTTATGCTGGTAGAATCTGGATGCTAACATCAGGATGCTAACAGTCTCAGTGTTACCATGGTGATATTTAAACACAGTTGATACTGATGGGAAGGACGTTGGTTCTGGAGACAAAACAAAGTATTAGTGATTAGCGATGACGATAAAACGTTAAAGTTCGTCTCAAGACGTATTTGGGTTTATTTAGCCCCGCCCCCGGTCCCCACAGGTTGACATGATTGGTTCCTTAGGTTTGTGACGTATGAAACCCTGAGTTGATGATTATTTCATCATCACGTCTGTATTATATAAAAACGTCATATGGGCGTTAACCTTAAGTCATCAGGGTTCATCCTCTGGTGAACATGAACGTCTAGTTGTCAAGTCGTTTCAGTCAGAGCCACGAACGTGAACTTCCTGTCGGTGCTGATGAAACGTCACAGGGTCACCAGAGTCAGAGGTCGTCGTCCTCTGTGTCCAACATTTCACTGCAGCTCATCAGGATTTATTGATCTGTTTCTTTATATTCCGAGTTACTGAGCGGAACATGTTGAATATAGTTTAACAACATGTGGAATATATGTTTAGTAGTTTTCAGTAGGTTGTGGAGGTACACTAATGTTATATTCACTAATTATTTTATTTATCTATTTTTTTAATTTGTATTTCTGTTGAATTGTATTTAAAGTTGAAGAACGTCAACTGTTCGAGCAGAATCGAGCAGCTCTACTCCTGAATACGTCTAAAATGCCTTCATCCTTTATTTCATTTTGTCTGTAGCATCTTGTCTTACCCATCTGAAAGTGTTTGACTTGGTTATTTTAGATTTATGTTCTGAGTTCCAGCTCACGATGAGCAGTTCGATGTCTCTGGACGACGTCAGACAGAGTCCAGTGAAGACCTGAGTCCTGGTTCAGGACCGTGAGTGTCTCCTGCATGTCAAGCTTTTGTTGCTTGGAATTTTGGGAGCAGGTTCACAGTGACAGTCTGACTTCTGCTGCTTGTTGAATCATTCCAGTATGTGCTTCCCTCCACAGAATCTACTTAATAAATGCCAGGTGGTCTTTTGTTGAAAGGCGTAACCAGTCCCTGATCCTCTGAAAATCTGACCCAGTCCCTCTCGGTTCTGTGGAGGATAATTGTGTGTTCATGTTCGCTCTGAAGCTCTTCTTCTCCTTGACAGTTGTCTGTTGATGTTGTCGCCTTCGGCTTCTTCTGTGTTGCCGCCTGCGGGCCGAGCTGCTCAGCGCCGGCTGGTGGCGGCGCATCTTTGTGGCGTTTGCGTCAGACGTTGTAGAAATTGACACTTATCTTGATCTTGGATGCAGCTGCTGAAAATTGGCAGCTGTAAAAGTAGAAAAATAGTTTCCGGTTTGGCTCCACGCTGCTGGCAACAAGCGCCACTTTAAACACACTCATCATGTCACAGGTGTATTTTATTACAGCTGCTATATCCCATCTGATTTCACATTCAGCCGGCCACCAACCACTGCTGTTCACTGATTTGTTGTATTTTGAGAACACAGTGGGAGGTGGGCGGGACGGTGAGCTCACCTGGTGCCGATCGCCTGAGGACATGATGGTGAATTTAGTAAAACCAGTCGACAGTCTCTCTCTAGAGATCTTCATACCTCTATTTTTAAACTTACAAAATCCACCCAAACCCAGACCGCACGTGCTCAGATGAGGTTTTTTATTCCTCCGCGCTGGCGACAGTCAGAGCGGCAGCCATTTTGTTTTCAGGTTGCCCATCCATACGTCCCATTCTCATGGACACGATATCTCAGAAACACCCTGACAGAACTTCTTCAAATTTGGTAAAAACGTCTATCTAGACTAAAGGAAGAACTGGTTAGATTTTAGTGGCTAAAGGTCAAAGGTCAAGGTCACGGTGACTGCAGAGAACACACCAATGGTTAATATTTTCTATGACTGAATAAACAGGGATGTAACCTGAAACTAGTCTGAGTGGCGGAGGGATACGACCACAAGGAGGCGATTCCAGTTTCAAGAAGAGACCAGAGTCCAGAAGAACCTGAGAACAGTCTCCAAATAGACTTGAGGATCATTAAACCCAATCCAAGACGCACCGGCAGGAGTTTGATGCTCCAGGAGCTTCGGTGACAGAAAGGATGAGGTCGCGTTATTGGAACATCAGCAGCTGAAATGAGTTTCGTCCATAAGGTGAGTTTGGATCAGCGTTAGAGGCAGGGTGAGGAACAGACAGGAAGCTGGAGTAGAGCTGCGTTTCCTCTGCAGTGAAAACATCCAGGTGAGGACGACGTCCAACTGACAGGAAGCCGCTCAGTAGACCCAGAACATGCTGCAGGGATTATATACGTTATTAGGCTCAGGAGCGTTGGAAGACTTCGGGACGGGGACATCTGGACTGACTTGGACTGCTGCAACTGCAATCTGGCTCCACACCAACAGCAGGAAATAGATGGATGATTAGGATGCACCATTTAAGCTATTAGAAAATCTGCTTGAATAAACTTATCAGATATCAACATGAACAGATCAGAGGCAACACATTGGACCTTGATCGTTCTCCAGGACAAACGATGGAAACCAGGAATTGGCCTTGAATGTAATTTGAACTTGGCCTGTTCTGATCCCTGAAGGAAACCGAGGTGTCAGCTGAGTCTTTCACTTTTTTCTTCTGTAATTTAAATAATTCTACATAATTATTCTCATTTCAAGTGTATTTTCTCATCAAAAGTTTATTTCAAGCTTTTTCCTTATGTATGATAAATATAATTTCATCATCTGCACATGTTGTTTTCCTGCTGCAGCTGTCAGAGTTTAACTGTCTCACTCCAGCGTCTGCAGAATAAAAAATTACAGTGAAATTAAAAGAGATGAAACTGGAGGTTTCACAGCAAGAAAGTCTGAATAAATAATGATCTGATTTAAGCTTCAATCATAATAAGAGAAGGAATCTTGGACTGTAACGATAATCTTTCCCTCACATGAGAAAATGAGGAAATGGTCCATGTTGTTTAAATTAGCTGATACAATGCAGAGATGGAGCCCAGCTCTATTATCCTCAGACATTTGTCTCACAACTTGATAACAAAAAGTCATCAACCTGCAAATAACAACAACAACCGTCCAGTGTTTACTCCATCATCTCCTCAGTCTCTGTCATTTCTCTGTCAACTCAAACACTGTCATTTACAAAAAAACTGCAACATAATCTTCCATCAGTCCGTTCCTCTCTGAGTCCGGGGCCAGATTACAGCTGCTGCAGGCCAAGTGAGTCCAGATGTCCCCGTCCGGAGCAGCGTCTTCCAGCTCGTCCAGGAGGACCCAGAGACGCTCCCAAACTAAATTACATATAAAATCCCCACAGCGGTTCTGGGTCTACGCTCGGGGTTCCACCTCGGCTGGATCGCTGCCTCCGCAGAGCGAGATGCTTTTTATTTGTCTTACAGTCTGGGGGGTGTGGGGTTTTGTTTTTTGAGGCCTCTTGTCTCTTTTAAAAGAAAAGCAAAGTGAGCACTGACCTTACAGCTGAGGCACTTTATTCACTTTAACATAAAAACATCTCAGAGGATTTGAACCTACAACACGATCCATCAGTTTAACTTCTGTGTTAGCTCAGAAGCTAAACAGGCTACCACAGGAAACACTCTGTCTCTACACAGTCTACAGTTACTGAATGTTGGATTTCTCTTCATTATTAATTCATGTCTGATTTATTTTTGACATAAAACATCAGTGAAACGTTTCTGTCTCCACATGCAGCTGCTGCAGTGGTTAAAACATGCATTAATATTTTTTCATGTGTGTCAGATTCAGGCTAGACAGAGAAACTACGGGGGGAGGAGTCAGTTTTAATGTTGCTGATGTCACAATGACATCATCAGGTCAGATCGGAGCTGCGTGGTACGCGTGACAAATAGACGAGACGCCAAATCTCTTGATCACGCAACGCAGCCGTGAGGCGAGACGCAGTGTGTCGCTGTAACCCGTTAACGTGCCCCGAGAAGAAATCCAAGACGTTCCGCAGCCACGATGCACATGCGACACATCCAATGCTCCTGAACGCCCCTCCAGCTCCGGTTCAATCTCTCTAAACACCATGACCACGCATCATCAGCTGATGGAGAGTTGGTTTTACTGGACAGGTGAACAACCTGTGATGTAGCTAGTAGCCACATGAGCTAATGTTGTTAGAGACACAGATGAGAGTGAAGTGACCATTACACTCTTCATTTTTTTAATCACAAACTTTTCTTCATGTAAAGTTTTAATGTATCGTATTACCCTGTGTTTGTTTGTTTGTTTGTTTGTTGGTTTGTTTGTTTGTTTGTTTGTTTGTAAAGCACTCTGAGCTGCAGTTCAGGGACACCTCGGTTGCTCACCTGGTAAAGCGTGCACCACACAGGTTTAGTCCTAACCAAAGCAGCCGTGGGTTTGAGTCCGACCTTCGGCCCTTTGCTCATCCCCTCTCTCTCTCTCACTGTCCTTTCAG